AAAATTAATTCGGATCAAATGGTACATTGTGGAATCCTCAAAAGTTGGTTTAGTGCTTTGTGATTATCAAATGGTCTTATCCAATGATCCCATAAAAAGGATACTTACCATTTATATCATAACATTATTTTTCAAATAATAAAACTAAAGTTCTGGGAGATTAAGTAGCTAACCCAAAGTAAGCAATTCAGGCCTATAGTAATGATGAAATAAAACAACTGTCTGCCTCCTAACATTTTATATTTTATCTTCTTCATGTTTCTTGATAAATTAAATACATATACATACTTGTATATCCTTATAAACATATGTTATGGTAAAAGATAAAATATTTATAAGACTACTATATACATGCACTTTGGTTGGGGACAATTCAATCAGACTTTTATGATGATAAAGATGGTGGACTAGGGGCCAGTGTTTTGGCACGCTTTAAGTTAAACCACTTCATATGACATCGGTATCCCATGTTGGAGCCCCTGTTGGAGTCCAGGCTGCTCTGCTTCCAATTCAGCTCCCTGCTAACACACCTGGGAAAACAGCAGAATATGTCCCCAGTACTTTGGCCTCTGCCATCCACATGGGAGGCCCAGATGGAGTTTTAGGTTCCTAGCTTTTCTGGCCCAGCCCTTAGCCAAATCCTTGGCCCATCTTCTGCTGCTTTTAGCAAGTCACTAGCAAGGAGCTGGCTTGGAAGTGGAGTGGCTGGGACTCATAGGATGTCAGCATCACAGGCAACAGTTTAGCCCACTATGCCCCAATGCCATCCCCAAATAAATCTTAAAAGTAAAAGGCACTATGGCTGCTGGTTTGAGTCCCAGCTGCTCCACTTCTGATACAGCTCTCTGCTATGGCCAGGGAAAGCAGTGGAAGATGGCCCAAGTCCTTGGGCCCCTGCACCTGCATGGAAAGACATGGAGGAAGCTCCTGGCTCCTGGCTTCAGACAGGCACAGCTCCAGCCATTGTGGCCAACTGGAGAGTGAACCAGTGGATGGAAGACACCTCTCTCTCTCTCTCTCTCTCTCTCTCTGCCTCTCCTCTCTCTGTGTAACTCTGACTTTCAAGTAAATAAATAAATATTTTTTTAAAAAAAGCAAAAGGCACTAAACAAAGACAAATGGCTGCTGTACACTGCAAGGAGACATATTAACAACAACAGAGTGGAAATTGGCATAGCAAACCCTTAAAGTTTGATTCCCAAACTACCAATAAGGAACAGCAAGAAGAAACAATTCAATTCACATAAAAAAAAAAACAAACACCAAGAAGCCTCAGGAATTGGCAGCGCCAGGAACTTCTGGATTGAGATAACATTCCCAAACTGGGAATCTTAACTGAAAGACTGTTTAAAAAGCCAGCCCTCACCCAGATGACATCCCCTTCTACTACCTAGAGAAGACTGAGGCTTAGTTTCTCAAAACGATAAAACACAGGGTGTCCACATCAAGACAGTAGGCACAGCTGAGGGCAGGAGTACCAAACTATTACTAATTCTTTACTGCGATCCCAGAGACCTTTCTTCACATCACTAGAATCATCTAGAATATATAATCACTAGAATATATAATCACTAGAATATATAAATTCCATGAGGATAAGAGTCTTTGTAGGTTCTATTCTCTGTTATAACCTTAGCACCTAGCACATATCAAATAATCAATTTTGTTGAATGAATGGATGAATGAGCTGGTTCTACATTTCTCTGCCTCTTTATCTGTTTTCTCAGTTAGTCCTCATCTATTTGGACTTCTCGATCTCTGTACATCAGTACCTAGTTCATAGTAGCCTACAGTTGAAAAACATACTCTATTGGGACCAGCATTGTGGCATAACAGGTTAGGCCACCAGCTGAGATGCTGGCATACCATATGGGTGCTGGTTTGAGTCCTGGCTACTCCATTTCCTATCCAGATCTCTGCTAATGTTCTAGGAAAACAGTGGAAGGCTAGCCTAAGTACTTGGGCTCCTGCACTCATGTGGGAGACCCAGACGAAGCTCCTTGCTCCTGGCTTCAGCATGGCCCAGCCCCAGCAGTTGCGGCCACTTGGGGGAGTAGACCAGAGGGTGGAAGATCTCTCTCTCTCTGTAATTCTACCTTTCAAATAAATAAATAAACCTTTTTAAAAAAGGAAACCACACTCTACCTATAGTGATTATCTGGACATATTATAAGAATGTACAGCTATATTGGCCGGCGCTGTGGCTCACTAGTCTAATCCTCTATCTGTGGTGCTGGCAGCCCGGGTTCTAGTCTCAGTTGCTCCTCTTCCAGTCCAGCTCTCTGCTGTGGCCCGGGAGGGCAGTGAAGAATGGCCCAAGGACTTGGGTCCCTTCACCCACATGGGATACCAGGAGAAAGTACCCGGCTCCTGGCATCAGATGGGCGCAGCACCGGCCATAGCAGCCATTAGGGGAGTGAACCAATGGAAGGAAGACCTTTCTCTCTCTCTCTTTCTCACTGTCTAGAACTCTCTCTCTGTCCCTCTCTCTCACTGTCTAACTCTGCCCGGCCAAAAAAAAAAAAAAAAGAATGTACAGCTATAAACACTGTCTTATTAGATGTTCTGCTAGTGATACCATCTTTGAGCTTTAATATATCTTAAAATTAGATTTTAGATAGCCTTTTAAGAATAAAAAGCAGGGGTAAGCCTCTGCCACAGTGGTTAAGATGCCACTTTGGATATCTGAATCCCCTATTAGAATGCCTGGGTTTAACTCCTGGCCTGGGGGTTGTGTCTCTGCCACCCACATGGGAGACCAGGATGGAGTTCTTGAGTTCTGGATTAGGCCTAGTACAGACCTGGCTGTTGTGGCCATTTGGACAGAACCACCAGATGGAAGATATCCCTCTCTCACTCTCGCTCTTTCTCCCCCCTACCCCATTACTCTGCATTTCAAATAAGTAAATAAATGAGTCTTTTTTTAAAAAAATAGTAATTTACAAATACATGAATATTTAGTATGTCAACAATGTAAAATCCTTCATAGCCAATCAAAAGTTATTATTGGGGTTGGCACTGTGGCACAGTGGGTTAAGCCATGGTGTGCAGTGATTGCATCCCCTATGGGCTCCAATTCAAGTCCTGGCTGCTCTACTTCTAATCTAGCTCCCTGCTAATGTGACTGGGAAAGCTGAGGAGAATGACCCAAGTGCTTGGGTCTCTGCACCCATGCGGAAGACCTGGAAGAAGTCCTGGCTCCTGACTTCAGCCTGGCCCAACCTCATTCATTGTGGCTATTTGGGGAGTGAACCAGCAGATGGAAAATTCTCTCTCTCTCTCTGTAACTCTGCCTTTCAAACAAATAAATAAATCTTTTAAAAATAAGTTATTATAAAGTTGCAAAGAAACAATTATGACTCATGAGAAAAAATTAATAAAATTCTTAGGAAACAGAAAAATCTTTGTGAATTTGTTACCGATTTCTTAGGTATGATACTCAAATAATCATTCATAAAACAAAAAATTAATAAACTTATATAAAACTTAAAACTTCTAGCCTTAGAAAGACGGTGTTAAGAGAATCAAAACCAGGAGAAAATATTTTTAAACCATATATTTATCTGATAAAGGACTTGTACTCACACAATAGAGAACTACTCACCAATAAAAAGGAATGAATAGATCCAACAACATGAATTTGAAAATACTTAGGTGGAAGACAATTAAGTCAGCCTAAAACAACCACTTACTATATGTTTCTATTTAGTTCGCATTACAGGAAATGTGTGGTGACTGAAAGCTGACTAGTGAATTGCCTGGGGACTAGCAGAAAGAGAGGATATGGGAGAGAGAAGGGTGGAAAGAGAAAGAGTACTAAGGGGTATAAGGGAATTGTTGGATGATGATTCAAAGGGTGTATACCTATGTCAAAACTGACCAAACTGTATACTTTAAATCGTTCACTCTGTTATATGTATGTCAAGTTGCCACAAAAAGGTTGTTTTTAAAGGATGTGGGTAAATTCTGACAAAATAGTAATATTTATTAATTTTAATAGTGAAGATATGGATGTTATATTTCTGCATATTTTCTATATACTTGAAATATCCATATAATTTAATTTAGAAAAATTTAATCAGACTTATTTATGTTACAGCTAACAAAACTGGGTAAATGATAGAGATAGCGCTGGAGCCTGGATCTTCAGCCTGTCAGTTTAATGCTCTTTCCAATCTACAGTGGGTGGAGGATAGGTAAGGTATAATTTGCATTCATATAGAAAGTTGAGAAAGAAAGGCTTACCCTTAAATTTATCCATTGTACCAGTGTTTCGAAGAATTCTTCTAGGACTGTTTGCTGCAAAACAAGCTGCCTTTTCATATTCACCAAGTGAGATTAATTCATTGAACCTATATCCATTGCATTATAACAGTACACACAAAAGAAGAAAGAAAACTGTTGAGTAAAATCTAATGCAGACTAAATATAGTGGCATAATATAGAAAACCGAACCGCAACTCCAATAAACTAGAACTAGATTCGTTCACTCCATAGATATGTTGTTTTCAATTCTTTAATATTTTGGGATTTTTTTAAAGTCTCAGAATAAAACTCTCTGCTACCAGCTGACCAGTGAACTTGATCCTATACATTATTCCTACAGTACTTACAACAAGCCATAGAGAATGGAAAGACAGAACTTGAAGGTAATTTATAGCAAGCTCAGATTTTTTTCTCTTGTATCATGTCTCATTTTATCTCCATTCATTAAGGTGAATCAGAAAAAATAAGGGTGATCTGCTTAGAAGCTCAGCTCCCTGGAAGTATTCATTGAACACAGGAGCTGCCACGCTGGAGATCAAGAGGTAGCCTTGGTGTTCAGAAGACTATGATGCTTCCTGAAGCATCAGCCTCTCAATTAAACATCAGATGAACACAAGAAGGAAAAATAATGGTTAACTTAAGCCTCTACTCCTTTTCTTATGGCAAAAAGGTTTTCAAATCAGCCCTTACATCACAATTAACAAAACTGTGGCAAACACATTATGTAGTTTACAAATGAAAGCAGAACCCCACAAGCAAAAATTCACTGAAGTAATACTAATGAAATACATAAAACTTTCAATCTTAACAATGGTTCTTCTCTCATTTCAAAGCCATCAGACTTCAAGCAAATCAACAGTTGACAAACTGTTTAACATATGACTAGAAATAATATATATATTATATATTGGCCCCACAGCCTCTGAATTTACATCCTAAAATAATCTTGGGTCTCTTTAAGATTCTTGCTGTATACTGTATAAAATAACTTAAGTTTTAGGGCTAAATATACCTTTTCAATATGTCATAGGATGGAAATAATGAGGAGGGAAAATGACCAAGCAGTCTAGAATAATCTAAATCAAGAAGATATTCTCAAAAACATTTTGTGGCTGATCTGTCTTTGTTGTTCCAGGAGAAGAAACTCCCAGGATATCTCTCTGAATAAAGATGTCACAAGTGCCAAGTGACTAGATGGGAACCAAGGCAGAAAACTATCCAATGGGCAATAAAGTAGCCTTATATGCCCAACTGTCAGGATTGGAGATAATGCACAAAGATCAGTTTAATGAAAGAAGTCTTGTGGGCTGGCATTGTGGTATAGCAGGTTAAGCCTCTGCCAGCGACAATGGCAACACATAACAGTGCTGGTTTGAGTACTGGCTGCTCCACTTATGATCCAGCTCCATGCTAATGCACCTGGGAGAGCAGCAACAGATGGCCCCAGTACTTGGGCCCCAGTACCCACATGGAAGTCCCAGAAGTTCCTGGCTCCTGGCACACTTCAGGAGCCAGCAGGTGATAGCTTGAGTTCTTGGGTCCCTGCTACCCAAACAAGAAAGCCCCATCAGGTTCCAAGCTCCTACTTTTGGTCTGGCCTAGGCTCCTAGTTTTGGTCTGGCCCAGTCCTGGCCATTTGGGGAGTGAAACAGTGGATGGAAGATCTCTCTGTCTCTCCTCCTCTGTCTATAACTCTGCCTTTTAAACAAACAAAAAATAAATCTTACAAAAAGAAAAAGAAGTCTTGGATGAGTTTAATTGTCATGAGCATACATATGAAGAATTTCTGCGCATTTGTACTTATCTTTCGAAAGTGGATAATGTGACCAAACAGGAACATATGGAACCAATTCTTCAGAAAAGATGTTCACCTCAATAAAATTTACTCAAAATGAACCAAATGATCTCCAACTCAGAACTAAACCATCTTTCTTTGTATTCCATCACAATGTTGGGAAGAACAGATAATAACAGGTGAAGGACAAGAACTTCACAGTTCCCAACAAAGTGATCTGAATTGAGCAGGAAAGGGGAAGACAACTTTCTAGATTTAGAAAACCTGGACATGGATGAAAAGATTAAGCACCACATGAGCCACAATTTGCGGCCGCTTCCAAGAGCAGTGGCACAGGAGGTAAGTACCGGTTTTACTTTTTTTAAAAAAACTTTATTTATTTATTTGAAAGTTAGAGTTACACAGGGAGAAGGGGGGGGGGGGGGAGGGAGAGAGAGAGAAGGGATCTTCCATCTATGGGTTAATCTCCAAATGGCCACAATCACCAGGGCTGGCCAGGCCAAGCCAAAAGCCAGGAGCTTCCTCCAGTCTCCTACAGGAGTACAGGGATCCAAGCACTTGGGCATCCTCCACTGTTCTCCCAGGTGCAACAGCAGGGAGCTGGGTCAGAAGTGGAGCAAATGGGACTTGAACCAACACTCATATGGGATGCAGCACTTAAGGCCCTGCTGCGCCACAGCACTGGTCCCAGTGTTCCTTCTTATAATCTTTCCCTGGACCAGACTCTCACCCTTGAAGTGAAGCCAAAACCCACCATAAAAATAACAGAAAAGCAAATGGAAGAGATACTTGGAAATGAAGTTATCTTTTCACTTGATGAACAATTTGATTATGACACAGTGACTCTAACTCACAAGTTAGAGACAGAGACCATCAAAGAGGTATGCAAGCAAAAAAGAATATCAACACAGATGAAGAGGAACCCTGTGATTGATTTATAGGGCATCTTTGTGTTTATTTTTACTTTGTTCTTACTCAAGTAACATTAGAATAAAAGACAAAAATCTCATATTAAAAAGGTTTTGTGGCTAGCGCTACGGCTCAATAGGCTAATCCTCCTCCTGCGGCGCCAGCACACCGGGTTCTAGTCCCGGTCGGGGCGCCAGATTCTGTCCCGGTTGCCCCTCTTCCAGGCCAGCTCTCTGCTGTGGCCTGGGAGTGCAGTGGAGGATGGCCCAAATGCTTGGGCCCTGCACCCGCATGGGAGACCATGAGAAGCACCTGGCTCCTGGCTTCAGATTAGCACGGTGCACCGGCCACAGCGGCCATTGGGGGGTGAATCAACAGAAAAGGAAGACCTTTCTCTCTGTGTCTCTCTCTCTCACTGTCCACTCTGCCTGGCAAAAAAAAAAAAAGGTTTTGTAACAAGCAGCAAAAATACATACATATATGTGTGTGTGTGTGTGTGTGTGTGTATATATAACTTGTATCAACACTACAATCCTCTTATCTCTTCTGAAAAATCTCCTAGACTACCAATCTAGTACTACTTTTCATAAAGAATTCATGGGGGAAAAACACCTCTGTAGTTTATTTTCTAACTTCTCTATTAGAATAGAATTTTAAAATTATAAAAACTAGGGGCTGGCGCCATGGCTCACTTGGCTAATCCTCCACCTGCAGTGCCGGCATCCCATATGGGCGCCGGGTTCTAGTCCCGGTTGCTGCTCTTCCAGTCTAGCTCTCTGCTGTGGCCAGGGAAGGCAGTGGAGGATGGCCCAAGAATTTGGGCCCCCATACCTGCATGGGAGACCAGGAGGAAGCACCTGGCTCCTGGCTTCGGATCGGTGCAGCACCAGCTGTGGTGGCCATTTTGGGGGTGAACCAATGGAAGGAAGACCTTTCTGTCTCTCTCTCTCATTGTCTAACTCTGTCAAATAAATAAAAAAAAAAATTATAAAAACTAGAAGGGTGGGCATTGCAGCACAGCAGGTTAAGGGGCCAGTTGGTGTACCTAAATCCCATAGTGGAGTACCTGAGTTGCTCCCAGCTATTCCACTTCCATTCCAGTTCCTGCTAATAATATGCATTCTGGGAGACAGCACATGATGGTTCAAGTACTTCAGTCCCTGTCAACCTCATGGGAGACCCAGATGGAGTTCCAGGCTCCTAGCTATGGTTGGCTCAGCCTGGGCTATTGTGGGCATCTCATAAATGAACCAGTGGATGAAAGATTTCTCTCTCCCTCTGCCACTCAGTCTTTATAATAAATAAAAACAAATGGATAAACATTTTCAAAAACTAGAGACTATGTTTCATCATGTTACTAAATGGAAATATAATTAATTTAACACAGAAAATCAAAGCTTTTAAAATATTTATGTTTCCGAGTAGGTGCTTAGCCTAGCAGTTAATATGCCCATGTCCCACAACAGATTGCCTGGATTCAACTCCCAGCTCCAGCTCCTGACTCTAGCTTCCTGTTAACGCAGGGTCTGGGAGGCAACAGATGATGGCTCAAGTGATTGGGTTCCTGTCACCCAGGTGGGAGACCTGGATTGAGTTCCTGGTTCCTGGCTTCAGACCTAGTCTCAATCACTGTAGGCATTCAGGGAGTGAATCAGCAAATGGGAGCTCTGTCTCTCTGTCAAAAAAAAAAAAAAAAAAAAACAAAAAAAAAAACACCAAAATTGCCTTTCAATGTAGTAAAGCATAATCTCTGCTTCTTTGGCCTGGCTTGGATCATCTTCAAGTAGTTGCTCAGCGATGGCTTGGTCATCTGTAAATATTGAAAGCATCACTGGAAGACATTTACGATAATAATCAACAGAAAAATAACTAACATTTGTATGTTTAACAAAAACTTATTGCTGTGGATATTAACAGCACCAACCTCTCCCTAAACTGAGTGGCCTCCCTGTCCCTATGCTCCTTATTTTCAAGTCTGTTCTCATTGGTTCATGAAGTCTATTCTTTACCAATTATCTGTAATCTGTTGAAGAAAGAAACCCATAGGGAAGCTAAAAGAAATAAGTATATTTTTGCTGTCTTTAAACTCAGCTAAGGAAAATCCCATCCTACAGCTTTCTGGAAATAAAAACATCTTGCATTATTTGTGCTAATTTAAAAAAATAGGTCAGCGCCACGGCTCACTAGGCTAATCCTCCACCTAGCGGTGCCGGCACCCTGGGTTCTAGTGCCGGTCAGGGCACCAGATTCTTTCCCGGTTGCCCCTCTTCCAGGCCAGCTCTCTGCTGTGGCCAGGGAGTGCAGTGGAGGATGGCCCAAGTGCTTGGGCCCTGCACCGGCATGGGAGACCAGGAGAAGCACCTGGCTCCTGCCTTCGGATCAGTGCGGTGCGCCAGCCGCAGCGCGCGGGCCGTGGCGGCCATTGGAGGGTGAACCAACGGCAAAGGAAGACCTTTCTCTCTGTCTCTCTCTCTCTCACTATCCACTCTGCCTGTCAATAAATAAATAAATAAATACGTACATACTGAGGGGCCGTGCTGTGGTGTAGTAGGCTAAGCCTCAGCCTGTGGTGCTGGCATCCCATGTGGGCACCAATACATGTCCTAGCTGCTCCTCTTCCTATCCAGCTCTCTGCTAATGGCCTGGGAAAGCAGAAGATGGCCTAAGTACACCCATGTGGGAGATCCAGAAGAAACTCCTGGATCCTGGCTTTGGATCAGCCCAGCTCCAGCCATTGTGGCCATTTAGGGAGTGAACCAGTGATGGAAGATCCCACTGTATCTTCCTCTCTCTGTCTATAACTCTACCTTTCCAATAAATAAATAATCTAATAAGTAAATAAATAAAAACTGAAAAATTACCATGCAAATCTTTGGTTTTCTGAATTTGCTCTACAAAGTCTGGAAAGGAGCTGCTCATATCAGATTTCACCCATAAAGAAAATGCATAGGAAATGATCTGCAGTCTTTGATGACTAGAAAGGTAAAAAAAAATCAACAACTTGAGTCCAAAATCAATTGGTAAACTATCAGAATAACACAAGCAAAAGGTTCAAATTTTTAAAACATATAATCAACTTGCATACCTAAACTGTAATTCTTTGTTCAGATGTTCAGCTATATCTCGCCGTTTTAGTAGCATAATCATTTCTTCATCTAAATCCACCTTCCTCTGAACTGGTATATATTTTATTGACATATCCTGCTTTATTTCTTCATATTTTTTTTCAAGATATTTCATGTGTTTAGTCAGTGCATCTAGACTGACGGACTCTCGGAGTGTCATGCCTGTAGGAAAAGGAAATAAATCAAACCAGCTAAGCCATCTGTGGAACTCTTGTACTTAAACAGAAAGTCTTAGCAAGATAGTCAGATGGTTCACTATGTTAAGAAATAATTCAGAAATAGGGGCCAGCATTGTGGTATAGCAGATAAAGCCACCACCTATGATGCCAGCAGCTTGGATCCCTGGCACCCATGTAGGAGACCTGAAGGCTCCTGTCTTCTGTCTAGCCCAGCCCTGACTGTTGTGAGACCTTTTGGAGTATAAACCAGCAGGTGGAAGATCTCTCTCTCTCTCTGTCTCTCCCTTTCAAATAAATAAAATAAATCTTAAAAAAAAAAAAGAAACAATTCAGAAATGGTAGCATATAGATACAGACAGATATAGATATATATAGCTTACTAAACATAAGTAGAATTAGCATAAAATTGTAAGTAGCTAACAGTTTTACACAAAATTAATGATGATTCAGTGCGGTGACTGTTCTGAGAACACACAAACTTTAGCAGCTGAAAAAAAAAAAATTGCTAGTGACCCCATCACCACACCCTGAAAACCCCTAAATATCACTATTGCTCATAACACCAAGAGCCTCTGCCCAACAATTCAGGATTTCACCAACAGATTTCTCTTTAATCAAGTCTCCCATTGCTCTTATATATAGTGAACTCCAGGACAATCAGTTCATTCTTTCAAACACAAAACTTGGACGAGCCTGCTGCAACTTTCACTGCCTTCCTTTCTCACCCAGGCCGCTTGTTGACTTTAACGCACCCCTCAAAATTGTCTTCCTCTAGAAACCGCCCTGGATGAACACTGCTGGAGTTTAATCATCACCTTATTCTTTTTTTTTTTTTTTAAGTTTTTAAAATTTTTTTTTAGACAGGCAGAGTGGACAGTGAGAGAGAGAGAGACAGAGAGAAAGGTCTTCCTTTGCCGTTGGTTCACCCTCCAATGGCCGCCGCGCTGCAGCCTGCATACCGTGCTGATCCGAAGGCAGGAGCCAGGTGCTTCTCCTGGTCTCCCATGGGGTGCAGGGCCCAAGGACTTAGGCCATCCTCCACTGCACTCCCTGGCTATAGCAGAGAGCTGGCCTGGAAGAGGGGCAACCGGGACAGAATCCGGCGCCCCGACCAGGACTAGAACCTGGTGTGCCTGAGCCGCAAGGCGGAGGATTAGCCTAGTGAGCCTCAGCGCCGGCCCAATCATCACCTTATTCTAAAGCTTCTCAGTATGTACTCAATTTGCCAGTCACTTTCTATTTATCTGTATGTGTCTTAAAAAATATATTTGCCTCCCTGTAACTTTGCCTTTCAAATAAATAAAGCTTTAGAAAAATAAATATATATACATATCTTTGTTTATTTAATTTGAAAGTCAGAACTATAGTGAGAGAGGGAGAGACAGATCTTTCATTTATGGTTCACTCCCTAAATGGCCACAATGACTGGGGCTGGGCCAGGCTGAAGCCAGGAGCTTCTTCCAGGTCTCCCATGTGGATGGCAGAGGCTCAAGCACTTGGGCCATCTTCTGCTGCTTTTCCCAGGCCATTAGCAGAGAAGTGGATTGGAAATAGAGCAGCTGGGACAAGAACCGGCACTCACATGGATGCTGGCACTGCAGGCAGCAGCTTTACCTTCTACGCCACAATGGGAACACCAACATCACACATAGAAGAGCCTGAGTTTGATTGCTGGATACATTTCCAATTCTAGCTTCCTACTAATGTGCAGTCTTGGAGGTAGCAGGTAACAATGCTCAAGTATTCAAGTCCCCATAACCCATATGAAAGACCCAGATTGAGTTCCAGGCTTCTGGCTTCAGCCTGGCCCAGCCTTGGCTGTGGCAGGCATCTGGGGAGTGAATCAGTAAATGGAAGATCGATCTCTGTCTCTTGCCATCCCCTGCTGTGTGTGTATCTGTCTCTCTGCCTTTCAAATAAACAAAAAAAATTTTTTCAAAAAAGTTTTCCACCTAGTGATTTTGCCTCTAGACAAATACTAACCAAAATCTTCAAAAGTTGTGGATACCATTATATATTTTTAAAATCTCTCCTTTCCCCTAGGATATTTGTAATTCCTCTATCCATCACACAAACTTAAACTTGTTCTTTTCTTTTTTTTAAACTTAAAGTTATTGATATCCTAGATGCATTCCAGAACATATTCACTTTCTTAAAATGTGATAACTGAAGATGTGGCATGAGAAAGCAGTGACATGGACATGTATCTACAGTGTTCACCAGAACCTTACAATTTTCCATACTATACCAGTGGTTCTCAAACTTTAGAAAGTATCAGAACCAACCTGGACAACTGGACCCAACCACCATGATGAGGACCCAACATGTCTGTGCAGGTTCCCAGGTGATTTTCATGTTGATGCGGGAAGCACACTTTAAAAGTCACTGCAGGCTGGCGCTGCGGCTAATCCTCTGCCTGCGGCACCGGCACCCCGGGTTCTAGTCCCGGACAGGGCGCCGGATTCTGTCCCAGTCGCTACTCTTCCAGTCCAGCTCTCTGCTGTGGCCAGGGAGTGCAGTGGAAAATGGCCCAAGTGCTTGGGCCCTGCACCCCATGGGAGACCAGGAGAAGCACCTGGCTCCTGCCTTCGGATCAGCGCGGTATGCCAGCCGCAGTGTGCCAGTGCGGCAGCCACTGGAGGGTGAACCAACGGCAAAGGAAGACCTTTCTCTCTGTCTCTCTCGCTCACTGTCCACTCTGCCTGTCAAAAAAATAAAAGATAAAATAAAATAAAAAGTCACTGCATTATACTTCACGTAGCCCAGCCAGATGGGAATGCTCTCATCTTTCAGAGCTGCTTAAAGATTTCTCTCCTTGTTATATCTACCTATAGCCCTGACCACATCTGAGTGCATAGCATACACTTGGAAGATGCACACGCATCAGAACATTTGTATCAGTTTCTGTAATGAGAAAAAACTGGACACAGCTGGGATTTCTCCCACATATTTTAAACAAAGTGCAGTACCTGGAATACGTGTTGATGGATCTTTAGAGAAAGTACAATATGGTGTTTCTTTTGAATAATACTCTTCCCTAAGCTGTTTAATCTGATCTATTTCCAATTGGATTTTTGAGGAATTGTTTTCAATAATTCTCATCCTGAAAAACAAAAACAGAAAGGTTTTTGTCTCTTTCAACTATTTTAATCTTTAATTCATGACTTAAAACAGGTTAAATTATTACTTCATTTTGACTAATTATCATTTTGAACCATTATAGAGTAGGTAGAAGTTTAAAAAGCAATGATGTAAAAACTTAACTAGCCTCACAAATGTACATTCTTTTTTCACAGCATTAATAAAATCTCCTACTATGATTCTTAACCCTATTGGAAATCCTTAACTGTTAAATATAATAACCTGACCAAAGTATTGTTTATTCCCCATAGTGGAAAAGTACTTCTGCAATTTAAATTTTGTGTGTATGTGTACAGTTGCCTGTAGATGTTGTAACAAATTACTATAAATTCGGTATCTTAAAAAAATGAGTTTCTTTAAAAAGTCAAAAAAAAAAAAAGAGGAATTTATTCTTTTACAGTCTGGAGGTCATAAGTCCAAAATCAGTATCACTGGGCCAAAACCAAAGTGCAGTCAGGGCCATGCTCCACAGGACAATCAGTTCTTTGCCTCCTCTAGCCTCTAGGGGCTGCAAGTGTTCTATGGCTGTATCACTCCAATCTTGAACCGTGGTCACAAGCCTTCCCCTCTGCCCCTGTCAAATCTCCCCCTGCCTTCCTCTTATAAGTGCATTTGTCATTATATCTAGTGCCTAACTGGATCATCTCCCTATCTCAAAATCCTAATTTTTTTTTTTTTTTTGACAGGCAGAGTGGATAGTGAGAGAGAGAGACAGAGAAAGGTCTTCCTTTGCCATTGGTTCACCCTCCAATGGCCGCCGTGGCCCGTGCGCTACGGCCGGCGCACCGCGCTGATCCGATGGCAGGAGCCAGGTGCTTCTCCTGGTCTCCCATGGGGTGCAGGGCCCAAGGACTTTGGGCCATCCTCCACTGCACTCCCAGGCCACAGCAGAGAGCTGGCCTGGAAGAGGGGCAACCGGGACAGAATCCGGCGCCCCGACCGGGACTAGAACCTGGGGTGCCAGCGCCACAGGCAGAAGATTAGCCTGTTGAGCAGCGGCGCCGGCCAAAATCCTAAATTTTTAAATTATATACATTTATTTATTTGAGAAGAAAGGTAACAAAGAGAGAAACAAAGAAAGAGGGAGAGAGAAACAGAGATCTCACACCCACTGGTTCACTCCCCAAATGTCAGCAATGGCAAAGCTAGGCTGGCCAGGCTGAAGCAGGAAGCTGGGAACTCAGTCTGGGTCTCCAATGTGGGTGGCAGGAACACAACTACTTGAGCTGTCACTTGCATTAGCGGGAAGCTGGAAGCAGAAGTAGAGCCAGGACTTGAACCCAGGCACTCTGACAAGGTATGTATATGTCCCAAGCAGTATCTTAATGGCTGTGCCAAACACCTATCCCAAAATACTTAATTTAATCACAGCTGCAATAACCTCTTTTCCAAACAATGTTAACACTTAATTGGTCCCAGAGATTAGGACCTCACATCTTTAGAGTCACTATTCCGGTACCTTTGATACTAGACGAAGTACAGCATAAAAGATAAAACTGAGTTCATCCCAGCAGTGGGAATGGTTACAGAACAAGAAGTATGGTAGGCATTACTTGAAGTTTACCTCCTACTTATGTTGGCCCAGGAAAGAAAACACAGGCTAAAATAAATTAGGCATTGTTACAGAAATGACACTTTTTAAGCCGGCGCCGTGGCTCAACAGGCTAATCTTCCGCCTTATGGTGCCGGCACTCCGGGTTCTAGTCCCGGTCGGGGCGCCGGATTCTGTCCCGGTTGCCCCTCTTCCAGGCCAGCTCTCTGCTGTGGCCAGGGAGTGCAGTGGAGGATGGCCCAAGTACTTGGGCCCTGCACCCCATGGGAGACCAGGAGAAGTACCTGGCTCCTGCCATCGGATCAGCGCGGTGCGCCGGCCGCAGCACGTCAGCCGTGCCAGCCATTGGAGGT